GAGGCAAGGGGATTTATTTCGAACTCACAAATCTCTTTACTTTCGTAATGCTGTTTCAAAAGCAGTCATTGTACAAAGCAATGCAGCATGTGAGACACTGCAAATGTACACATGCACAGATTGAACATAAACTAGACAAGGAGAGCAATCTGTGCAAACACATCTTGCACGGCTCAGCGACGAAGGAACCAACAACACCCAGCGAAACCTCTTCTTATTAACAGCTCGAGAGACATCCTTAGAAACCGAGCAGCGTTTTTTTCCGGGCACTTTTCCTCCGGGTATCAGTTACAGAGGAACCCCTCAGTATGCAAAAATTAAAAGACAAGCTTTGTCTGCATTACTGTAATATAAATAATGCATTATTCATGGAAACCTTACACGAATCGTGGGTGCAAAACAAGGCTCTTACTTCTTGCAAAGTAAAAGACCTCTGTGATGTTACAAACAAAGCAGACGACGACGACGGACGATAAGACAGTCACTCATCTTTCATCGGGAGTTAAAATAAAGTTCCTTCTACGCTTCAACACTACTATTACCACGTGAGGTACATGATAGCAAACTTGTCCATTGGAACCAGACATCTGTACCACAAACATCAGCCCTAAAGGTTTAAACGCCTGATACATAAATCACAAGAACATCCACTTTATCCCAAGTAGCGTTTCCATATTTGGATTCAAATCGTCATTTAATATTTACATACATTCCTTCAATACAAGGGGTCCGTAGTGGCCGCTTGGTCGCGGGGACCGTGGGTTCGAATCCCACTCAAGCCATGGATGTATTTCTGTGTTGTGCTGTCCTGTAAATACGAGGTAGAGGCCTTGCGACGGGCCGATCCCTCGTCTAAGGAGTCCTATCGAAAGTCCATACATCAAGCCAAGGGTACCGGAAAATGCACAAACATACGTACATTATAAAATACTAAGTGAACTAATTACCTCACACGTAAAGTCTAATTTACTTAAGTCAGGCTCACGCGCAGACGAGAAAAGTTAACCAAGAAAATCCCCATCTTTTATGGAACTCGAAGGGTCACCACCTTGTTCACAAGAGCCAGCCGCCAGCCCTATCTGGAGCCAGGTGAATCTGATCCACACCCTCCAACCCCAATTCCCTAACATCCATTTTAATATTATAGTCCCATCTGTGCCTAGGTCTAACAAGAGGTCTCTTCCTTCAGGTTTTCCAACGAGAGGCAAGTGAATCAACACCCTACGAAAAAAAAAAAGATGTTACATCCCTGCCGGGACGAGGCTTTGGACCTACCGTCTCCTTGTAGAGACGCTGGAACATTTGTCGGTCCTTGTAACAGTTCGACGCCAAGGACGGCGGCCGACGGAAGAAGGCTTCGTTTAGACGACCCGTAAATTAGCGTCTCCTTAGCTTAAGTGGCACAATGATAAACGATGTCTTGAAGCAAATCCTTTTAGAATCCTAGTGAAGCATGGATGTCCCGTCGGAACGGAAAGGTGGTGGTTTGACGTGAAGGGGTTCTTGAGAAAACGGAGTGCAAGAACGAACGAGAATGGGGTTACGAGTCGGATGAAGATAATTGGCATATTCCTCCCACCCTCTCCGGCTCGTTTAGAAGCATTTTCGTGCCATTCTTTCTTTTTCTATCTCAGTGAGTAAGCTATTAAAGGAACTCGAGTCTCGAACGAAGAAGGCAGCTTACTGATGTAATGCACAGCTCCACGCTAGAAGAGGGAGGTTAATGTAAAGAGGCAATTTCGTATCAGGTACGTCTTACAACTGTACTACAGGAAGAAGGGAACTTTGTAAAGTAATTCACTTCAACTGCAAAGTTACTATCTCGGCTGAAACATTCAAACTCCCATTACACTGACAACAAGCATTAATTTGGAAGATTCGATCAGAAAAGGACAAGGGCTTTATGGCTGATACAGTTCTATGCCAATGGAAAACTCAATTAGTTGTGTGGGTTAAGAAATCACACCGAAATACGGAAATTTAAGGACTGCGTCAAATTAAGTGTAGCAATTTCAAATCTGCCCCAGCTTTGGACAGAACCTGGAAGATTAAGTGTAATTCGGAAAATTGCTCTGTAGCGCAAGATTATATTCACGATGAACAAATTCAGCCGCAGTACGTCTCCATTATAACACCAAGTGGTTAATATTGGGCCGTGAAGGTTTTGGTCTGAGATACCCATCGCTGATGACAGTGTCCAAAAGTTCCTCCGAAACGAGTATTAAAGCAGGTGGAACTTGTCATGATAAAAGAGAGGAAAAATGGTTGTGTATTCAGAGCCATTTCGTCTGAGTAAAAGCTGAGGTAAAATTAGAGATGTCCGTGGGACTTAACTAAGCATCACGCCATGCCGAGGAATGGCAAAGCGGAGGTATAGCTCCACGCGTTCTTAACCTCGGCTTCACACCCCGGCCACTTCGCCCCCGAGGAAACGAAGTTGGTACGCAATGGACAGGAGGTCGGGTAGGGCCCCCGAAAAGGTCTGGACGATGCAACTGAGAAGAAAAATACGTTCTTGCCGGGAATCGAACCTCGACGTGCATACTCCGCAGCACGACTGTGTTGTTCCGGCAATAAAATGTTCTTTGCAGACAAAAAACTAATCTTTATTGGGACTATTAATAATTCAACGAGAAACGTCTGCATTTCCCATGCTCCACTGCTAGAAGGGAAGGGCTCTGTTCTTTTGAGGCTGCTTAAATCGACTAATAGGACGAATTTAAGACGTGTTCTAGTTCGTAGTCTCAACAGTAATGGGCTCCACATTAAAACTGATGTTGCCGCCACCGCCATGGACGCGAGCGACGTTATCCAGTCGCTTACAAACACTGAATATTTTAATAACAATCGATTTGTCTGTGGAATAACATGCAGTGGGGTAAAGTGCATGAATGATGCATTTGGTAACTCCACGTACGGTAATGCAGTGAGAGACGAGGACCTCCAGTCACGTTCCACGTTCCTAGCAATCTCCGTCACAATACGGACACACTTTTACATTATTTTTCTGTATTTGTATAGTATTTCGTAGGAAGCACGAATATTCACGATAAGAGCATACCTGAAATGCGGGGGGGGGTACGTTTCAGATGATTTTTCAAAACACCTCAAGAAATTAGATCCGAGATACTTTAATAACTACCAGCAGTCCAGAGAATTTCACTGTAATTACTAAGTATAAAATATAACTATTAACAGAATTTAAAAGAGAAATACTTTGTCGATGAAAATAATTCACAGATCATTATAAGTGAAAACGTATGGAAATGGTGTTAATAAACGGTCACTACCAAATAATGTAACGCGGAAAATCTCGGTTACGACAGCCCGTCTCCGGGCAGCTCCTAAATGAGAAACAAAGTCTCTTTAACACAATTCTGTCAGAGATACACATTAAATTAGACTTACGAGAACAAAACACGGTCAGTGAGTGGCTTCACTCTCAGGCTGTACGGGATGCCCGGATGGCTTATCACACACTACGGTTGAAAACCTTGCATTTGCGACCTACGAATACCCAGTGTTTAGCGTCAAGTCAGACATGACTGACAGTCGACTAGGCCACTTCTGTAACACACCCAACACTTCACAAACCCTTTATTTCAGACGTAATAACAGTAATAAAGACGTAGCATATGTCAAAATCAGCAGCAGCAGATGTGAGGGACTGTACTGACAAAGAAAGCAAATGAGTACAGACCAGGTCAAAGTTCTCGAAACACATTGCTTCTGAAGTGTTCTTGAAATTACATTGGAAGTAATGACATCGAAAGTGGGGGGAATAAGTAACGAATTACAAACTCGACTTATCTGGATGACGAATGGCTCGATGGATACGACAACTGGACTGGAATTTACTCGACTTATCTGGATGACGAATGGCTGGACTGGAATTTGCACTCACCTGTAAAGAAGAGAAAATAAAAATTACTATTTAAAGTCAATTGACAACTGCGCGTACAAAATGCTTCATCGATCAACAACTGTTCATTTTGTATTCACGGGTTTCGTCCGATTCTCAATGCCTCTGACTCCATCATCAGGGCAATCATCGCCCATTAGAGAGCATATGATGACCAACAAGAATATATCATACCAATTACAATGGCATTAGCAGCAATAATAATAATATTTACAAGTAACCTACTTATTTGTAAGAGAAGAAAGATGTTTCAGTTTACTGTCATATGAACGATAAGAATAAGTCTTAACGTGAATTTCGAACACAGTAATTTTCTTCAGTTCTTAATCTGATCTAAAAACCAAATTCGAAACAAATGAACACCTTGAGTAATCTATTAAACCTTGATTCATTTCCGTTACCGGGACGATGTACAAACGCGTCGCCGTGCGGTCGATTCCTTTGCGAGAAGCAACACGGCCCCTCCCAAAGACATATCCGAGAGCATCCTCTGTCTGCCACGTGCGCAAATCTGATTTCGTTCTGTCAGTTGGCACTTGTCATAAGCATCAGACACTAAGCTTAAGAGAACAGTTTAATCATATTAAAAACACGGGTCGTGTGTCCTTTCGCTTCCATTGGGCTCAGAGCAAATCTCATTTTCTGCACGTCGGCTGGGCAAATTAAACAGACTTAGTAGCCAGCAACAGCAAACTAGGCTTTACACTACACATTCACTCGTCCTGCTGTACCTACGGCGCATCACAGTCCACGACGTGAGGTTCTGACAGTGTATTAACACGTCACCTGATAATGCCACATTATTCCTACAGAAGCTTCTGAACATGGACAACATCAAATGGGTCCCCGGGTCACCTCGGCAATGAACCTCCTCAAATTTCGGGCAGAGTAATGGGTTCGTTAAGCACTCGCGAACAGCCGACACGGGGTGGTCTTCCATCCTGGTGGCAGGGCGGAGAGTAACAACTCATCACCACAAAAACAGGACGTCGCGAAATAAACAAAGGGATTTTGTAAGCACGGAATCTCTTAAGAATATTAAGATACCTGCCGTGCAGTCTAGCAGAAATTTTCGACGTTTCAGAGGTATTTGCTGTCCCCATCATCAGGGGCGATCATAGATGATTCTTAGAATAAACAGCATCGGCCAGTTTGTCTTTATGGCGAAATGTTGTGCTTTCTTTTCGGTACGGAATTAATCTCTTAATATTATTTAGACGAGATTCGTCTTCAAGCAGAGCAGTGAGCCACATGATAAAATCATTCTAAGTTCAAGGGATCAGAGTCAATTCTAGGCCATATTTAAGGTTCTCACGGCGACGAGTATAAAGTTGGCCATCTTCTCGAGTGCTCCGCGGTACAGTCTGGCAGAAGTTTACCGACGTTTCACAAGACGACGGAACCAGCAAACTCCTCTGAAACGTCGGTAAATTTCCAACGCGCACCTTCCCTGATGATGGCAGTCTTACAGTTGGGAGCCTGCCTCCATTCGGCTACAAAATCCTGCGCTATCAGAGCATTTCCCACTACTTCAGCAAATCATTCGCGATCCAGAGATCTAGCCCTGAAACGCTGTCAGCTGACACTGCGTACCGTCTAGAAGTTGGTACGAAACAGACAATGCTCCTACAATTTCGGTTTCGTCATGGTGTCCAACGCATCGCGCCGACTACAAGTGATTCGAAAACCTGATTACAGAAGAAGTACCACGGCAATGAATGCCAGTGGGAGCATCACGTGCTTTGAGAAAGACACATTCTCTTAATTTAAGGACACCAGAGCTGAAGCCGACCCGTGCTTCATACACTGAAATCTACGGGCGACTGTCTTATATCTGTCCGTTGCTGTCTTCCTCCTCCCATGTGACTTGTACGTCTTCTGTCTAATATCCTACCATTTCTCACCGCAAGTTCCTACCAGACATGGCCACTCGCGTCTCGTGGGAAATCCAGACACAGGATCGTTCTAGGTATGGCTTACAAGAAGCAACTCTGATGGAGGCGTACCGTAAGCCACGTTCTGTCCAGTGTGAGACTAATGACTTGCATATGAGGCTGGCTTTATGAACACGAAGCAGATAAAAGTCTGTGTGTTTCGGGCACTCAGAGTGGAACGTTATGACCACGTAGAATCGTGGTGATTACGAACATTTTGAATATAAACTGAAGCCCTGAAGATGGAGAGGGTATCGTTCTCCGAAACGGTGGTATACCTATAACAACCCAGGAACAACACGTCATCCTCAACACAGTAAGAACCTCAAATATCACACGAAGAGTGGAGCCAACTTTTAAGCGACTTCCCAAAGCAGGTTACTTGAGAAAAGGGTCATTACCGTACTTCTCTTTTGCCAAGTTTAAAGGCTAACGAGGTTTGAAAACACATCTCGACATTTTGAAAGGAAACCTGACTACGAAAATTTCGCGCCATCAATGTCGCCGTTTCGAGATGGGACGTGCCAATTGGAAGAGCGCCATCCCTTCTTCGCCCCCCTTGGTGCAGTCTGCAGTTCGGATGCAGCGTGAAATATATGTGCTTGAAACACCAAGAAATAAAAATGTGTCCAGTACCAGCACGAGACCAGATACAGGGCATTACTAGAGCTAAAGCGCGGGAGACTTACGGCTGACGGAGATACATCCGAGCTAATGAAGGCATTAGCCACGGTCTGCAGTCTACCACAGACAATATCTTTGCTCTACATTACGGGCTGGCAACTTCGCAGACGTTTAACTACGAAAAGGAAGTTCATTCGGGCGGGGGACTACGTTAGTGCGGCATAATGTAGCCGTCGGACAGGGCTACGTCAGTAAACTTCGACCAGACTACACTCGAGGCGCTACAACCCAGAAGACAGTCGTCTTCATGCTCACCGCCGTGAAAACCTCAGATGTTACTGCTGTAGAAGAAGACAAGTTTCCCGCCCGCCCAAGGAGGAATCAGTCGTCGCTTTCAGTGATCACCACGAACGACCTTCGGCACGCACTCCCCTGTTTTGTCATTGCTTCTCCTCAAGACATGCAAAGTGAAAAGAACTTTCTTTGAGCCGGTGGCCTAGCCCTGTTCACGTGACCTGCAGGCCACGCCATGTAAATGGCAGACGGCGAAATGCATTTTGCCCAATTTATATTCCGCTGGGTTTTCATTCTGACCCCAAGCATCTCGAACTGAGGCGGAACAGACAACGTAATGTAAGGCGAGATCTGGTGCGCAGATAAATTTCATCCGCTCATCTTTCTGAACGTTATTATTTCCGGAGATTACTCTTTCTCTTAGGAAGATTTTACGGTACGTTATCGGATGTTACAATGCATAAAATAATCCGATTACTTTATACCAGTTTATTCGAGTGGATCAATTACACCACAGACATTCAGAAAATGCAAGG